CAAAGACCTAATTTATTAATAGATTATTAATATATTTTATATTTAAATTAATAAAATTAAAATTTTTATTTACCTTCGATTGTATTGCTATAAATTTTTCTTAATCTTTGTCTTTGAGTTAATTGCTTTGAATGATTTATATGAATATGTTTTATTCCTAATTTTTCTAATTCTTGATAGCCACGCCAGCTATCTGAATAGATTTTTGTTTCTGTTTTCTTATAATTCTTGTAAGGGTATTTGTATTTCTGTCTTGTATAACTTCAAAATAATATTTGTTAGATTTTCTTTTGGTTAATCTTATAACCTACCATGAAACATCTTTTTTAAATTTAGATTCATCTATTTTTATAATTTTATATTCTCCTTCTAGCTTGCTATCATTAACTGTTAATGTGTTTATTATTAAATCACGAAATATTTTTGTATATTTTTTAATCAATTTTGGTGATAATCTTGTTAAATGTTTAAGTGTTGTATAATGTGCTTTTAAAATCTAAAAATAGCTAAATGATAAGATCTGGTTGCTTTTTAAACATCTTTTCCTAAAGAATGAATTATATGATATATTGAGATTGTTTTGTTACAATTTGTGTTTTTACATATCCATAAATTATATTACAGTAAAATTTTGTATTATTACATTTTGAGCAACTATTTAGTTGTTTATTAATAAGTTGGTTTTTTAATAGAAATTCGATACACTTTTTTTCATTAAATAATATTTTTTGTATTATATTTATTTTAGGAATTGACATATTTTATTAATAAAAAAAATTTATTTGTTTGCTATTTATAAATATTTTTAATATTAAAAAATAACTATATAGTAAAATAATTTATAACTTTTGAATTACATGTGAGAATCCTAAATAAAGAGAATATTTCTGTTTGTTCTTTTGAATTCTTTATCTCTTGTTTTATCTGCTATATCTAATTCAAAATCTTCATTATAATTAAAATTATTTTCTTCTATATAGTTAGATTTCTTTTTATCAAATGATTTTTGATAATTTTGTTGAATTTCAAACTGTTGTTGATTAATAATATTTTTGATAGATTTCAATCTGTTCTTGATCAAAATTATTATTTTCTTGTTCAACCTGTTTTGGTTCTTTTATATTTGTCTTTTTTTCTTTTGTGAGTATAATTTGAGTCATCTGAATATAAATCAGAATTATAATTTAACTCATTAATTGATAGTTCTTTTAATTTTGATTTGGTAGACGTTCAAATATAAAATTTCTTTCTTTTTTTGTTTTTTTATTCTATAATTTTTGTAATATTATCAGAAATGATATTTCAACAGAAAGAATTCCATTCTTATTTTCTAAAGGGTTTTCCTTTAAATTTTTTCTTTTGATTGCTTTATATTCATCTGTATTTTCTTGATATATTCTTTCAGTATTATAAATTTTGGGATAATACAGTTCAATTTGCCCAAGAATATATTTGTTTTTATCAATCATATAATATTTTTTCTAATAATAAATACTATTTAATTCTTCAAATTTACTATACTTATTTTCTAATATTTCTCTTGCTTTTTCTTCTGTAATATTATGATTAAATTTGATTTCAAAGTTAAAATTAAAAAATCTTCAGGTGAACCTTTATGAAAGATCATTCGAATTTTACAACAAGGACATTCTTCTCGACATAGTTTTTTATTATCTTCTCTAAATTTCTTAAATTCTACAATATAATCTAATCGATTTACAAATGAACTAAATAATTTTGTATTATTAAATTTCTGTTCTGATATAGCTTTTAATTTTTCATTTTCGCAAAAATCATAAATAAATCTAACATTTGTGTTTGCAGAAAATCTAATCACTTTTGGGCAAAAATTTTTATTTTCACAACCTTTTATTTAAATACTATAATCTTTTGAATCAAGAAGATTTAAGAGTTTTAAATATTTAATCTGATCTTTGAATTCATTAATCAAAACTTCTTCATATGAACTATTAAAATCTTGCCAAAATCTATCATCAGCACTTTTATATTCATATATATTTGGAAAAAGTAATGAAAACAAATAACCTTTTCTAACTCAACTTTCGTCGCTATAAAAAATATTGTTGTAGACTTTTAGTATCTTTTATTTTTCTTTTTTTTAATATTTTTTTTGGCTTAACATAATGTATAAATATAG